AATACCCAAAGTTGATATTCTGGTTTGCTCTTCAAATTTGCCAACTCATGCCACTTTTGCCCTAGTAGTTTGATTTGGGAGCTGAGTAAGAAAATTGAAGAAACACGTTCACATCTGCATCTGTCTGGTCAGCGAAAGAAATAAGTTAACGAGTACAAACCGACTATTCAATCAGGTTGAACGATCCTGCAAAAGGTTTGTGGTGCTTTGTTATACGTGCATGTCTTCCTTAGGGCATGCTTTCCCCTGTGTCAGCAATCGTTTCTGTTTCATCAGATGCCTCAAAGGACAAATATGCAGCGGTGTTTCTCTGCTCCTTTGCCTTTCTGCATCTCCCACTCCCACACATGTCTCTCTCTCTCTCTCTCTCTCTCTCTCTCTCTCTCTCTCTCTCTCTCTCTCTCTCTCTCTCTCTCTCTCTCTCTCTCTCTCTCTCTNTCTGTGTGTGTGTGTGTGTGTGTGTGTGTGTGTGTGTGTGTGTGTGTGTGCGTGTGTGTGTGTGTCTGTGTGTGTTTGTGTGTGTGCCTCCCCCATGCCTTCTCTCCTCCCTTTATCTCCAGGGCCCACTCCTGAGTTTTCTGTAGTTCTCTTTCTTTTACGTACTATTGTGAGGTATTCTGTCGGTGCTTCTTGGCAATTTACTGGCTCCCCGGCTATTGGATTGCTCTTTAATGCCCCTGCTTGTGGGCCGGGATAATACTGGTACAGCACTGTACCGCAAATGGTGGGTGATAGCCTGTACTAGGTGAAGAACTAGCAGCAAGAGCTTAGCGGATTTTTTATAAGTATTTAACTAATAGCTTGTTCCCTATCTCTCTCACTTCTCGAGCTTTTCAAAAGCCCCTGACGAGGTCCGTTTTGGCGAACAGCTGAAATATGTCAGGCAATCATTGGCAGTTCTAGTGTGTTACAGCTAGAGCATCAGGTGTTCTTCAGTAATGATTATTTGGAAGATCCTCGGGATCACTACTTTCTACGGTCCGGGAGTGAAGTGTTGCAGTGTCCATAACTCCATGTGCTTCTCATTCTCCATTCTACCTTAAGCCATCTTTATTTCCCTGTCCTCATCTCGTCTTCCTCACCATTTCCTTCCTCCTCCTCCTCCTCCTCCTCCTCCTCCTCCTCCTTCTTCTTCTTCTTCTTCTTCTTCTTCTTCTTCTTCTTCTTCTTCTTCTTCTTCCCCTTCTTCTTCCCCTTCTTCCTCGCCTCCATCCTCCTTTTTCTTCTTCCCCTCCTTCCTCTTCTACTTCTCCTTTTGAAGCAAAGGCTTCTGCTACTATTGGGGGTGACATAAGCTTCCCCCAACTAGTAACCCTCCTTTTGCTCCTGTCTATCTATTGGTGGGGAGAAGCACCGCTGGAAACCAGGTCCAGCATCTCATTCTCTTTTTTTTTTTTTTGATTCTCTACTGTTCAAAACAAAGCATTTACATACTTTTACAGAGTTATGCACCTGGCAGCATTAATTGCCCTCAGCTGTCCCCAGGGGATTGACTGCGATTGCCTCAGAAAGAGTGTCTGCGACTGAGGAGGCCCTCTTCAAAGCCTCTGGGTGGCCGGATGAAACTTGACTTACATTTGCCACCTCTTACTGACAGTTTGGCACTGATATGTTGCAAACAGTCGCCACAGCTTGTCGACTCAATGAAAGATCGCCAGCTTAACAGGACTGACGGAGCATGATGGAGGATGTCTGAGAATATCGGGGATTGTCTGAGATTCTGTTTACTGGATATGGACCTGACTCTCTATTGACTGTTCCAGCTGCACCTGCTGGAACCCGATCCAGCGTCCGTTTTCCCCACCGTTATTATTGTGTGTGTGTCATTGTTCTTCTCCTTTCCCTCCAGTGTTGCTTTTTCAAGTCTGCATAAAATGTTATCGGTACCTGGTGTTTGATTGTACTAGTGGAATGAGGAACTGGTTGCGAGCTATTGAAATTTGGAAATCGAATTGCGTTTCGGTTGTTGTGCGGCTTATCAATTGTTGGATGCTGATTGTCAATAGAAGATCCTGAAGGCTGAAGGCTCACGTGTCTGGTATTCGTGCTGGCAGTGATTGGGAGTCGTGATAAATTCTTGGAGTCACATCGAGCATCCCTTTTCCCCACCATTATTATTGTTTGTGTCAGTATTCTTCTTTCCCTCCAATTTTTTTTAATTCTTTTTTAAGTCTGCATAAGATGTTATGGGTACCTTGTGTTTGATTGTATCCATGGAATGAGGAACTGGTTGCGATCTATTGAAATTTGAAATGGAATTGTGTTTCTGTTGTGAGGCTTATGTTGGATGCCGAGTGTCGAGAGAAGGTGCTTAATATATGTGGGAGTGTGGAGTTGGGGAGCATGGGTAAGCATATCCCGCGAGGAGGGAGGGAGGGGGAGCAGGAGGCAATGCGTCAATTTGGGCAAGATTGAAGGACTGGAAGGAGGAGAGAGAGGGAGGATCGCTGCGACAATCAGGGATATGCTCCGAGTGCTCAGGCAGGGGCTCGTCAGCGAACAGCCCCGCGCAAGAGGAAGGTCTTTCCGTCGGCTTCACTGACTCAGCTGGATCTACTTCGGGGATAGAGTAGCAGGAGCTGGTCCCAGAACTTCGTCCTCTTCACGTATGACCACGTACGTAGGCTGAACCTGGGACATGGCATTAGGACTATCAACGATCTCGGTGGGAAGCACTGCTAATATTAATGTATGTTGGAGTCTGGAGTGGGGAGCGTGGGTGAGCAGGTTCCCCAAGGAGGGACGGAGGGGGAGCAGGACGTAATGCGTCATGTTGGGCGAGATTGAAGGACGAGGAGGAGGAGAGAGAGGAAGGATCACTGCCCCAATCAGGGATATGCTCCAAGTGCTCGGGCAGGGGATCATCGGCAAACGACCCAGTACAAGAGGAAGGTCCTTCCTCCAGTGTCACGGGTTCAGCCCGATCTACTCCCGGGAATACAGGAGCAGGAGCTGGTCCCAGAACTTCGTCCGTTTCGTCTATGGAGACTGGCACAGCACCACCCATCACGCTTCCCAGTTCTGCTGCTGCAGCTTGAAAGGATCTGGCCCTTTCAAGCGATGTCCACTGCAGCTACCGAACTCGCGTTAGGCCGCACCTCTTTGATTGTGGCCGCTCATACATCATTGAGGCTGCAGATGCCTCCTTGTGTGTAACACCACCATCGATCCACCTTCTTCGCCTATCCAACCCGACACCACCACCGACCGATATCACCATTTGGGCGAGTTTGGAACCTTGACCCGGATCTGATCTTGCTCCTCCATGTCCGTTAAGTATTGAGTGATGGCGACTAACTCCAGGTGAACTAGCAGGCGGAACCGCTCTCGCTGTCGGCGCAAGGTTCCGAATGGATACAAGGCCACACACCCCAGGTCAAGAGGTCCTTCTGCTGATGATCACATAGATAGTTAAAGTGCCAGTGCATGCCAGCTATCGGCCGCAGGCCCCTTTCGGAGGCCGCCCGCCGCTGATTCATTTTATCTATGGCGCCCAGCCTCCTAAAGTTTTGGGGAGGCTCAAAACAGGTTCTCCAGTTGCCTGGGGCCATGTACTGGTGGTTTAAGTCCTCGTCCATATCGTGCAACTCGTCCTCCACACGGAATCTGAACAGGGCGAGATAGACCGGCCAATAGAGGGATTGATGAAGCTCCTGTAACTCCTCGTCCTCCGACGACACTAGCAGATCGGAAAGCCTTACCTTGTATATCACAGGATAATTGCACATAAGCATCCGATTGAGAACCAGAGCATAGGTGAGAAAGGTGTAGGAAAAGTAGGGAGGCATTTAGTGAGCTGGAGGATCTAACAGAGGTCGTACAACCACGGGAAGAGGACGGAGTGCAGGATACTGCAGCTCCAACGGTGTGTCTGGCCCCTCAATCGTCCTCAACCTTGCACGGTTGATGTTGTATCAATGTTGGCCCCTCTTGTTTACTCGTGCCACTGATTTAGACCTGCCTCCTGCTAAATCGTCCAGGAAGCATCTGACACATGGCCGGGTTGCTTATGGTGGCGAGACCAAATCTTCGATCTGAACAATGAATGAATGCGCGAACAGTGAATGAATAGCCAGATGTGAGAAGCCGTTTGCCAGCCCCATTTGCAGCGAGCACATTGCTTGGTGATATCCATGCCCTTTGAAGCTAACCAAGTCGCGGAGGGTGCTACTGAAAGCAGTTGAAGCTAGATCAGACTGGCCTGCTTCTGTGAAACCATCAGCTTTAGTGCCTTCCACAATCCAAACAAGTCCATATTTCGTAATGCGAAACCCGGTTCTTTGGCCAGTCTCTCTGCAGCAGTCAGCACCGGTTGTTCTTGACTTTCGCCCGTAGCACTTGAACGCCGGTTTCGGAACTGTAGGAAATCACTGGGTCGAGTTTTCTGACTCTGGTCCATCGTGCCAACCATACAGTAATGACCCAATTTGGATAGAGGAAGCATCTTCTACAACGAGGGAGGCAACTTGTTGCTTAGTAGTAGACTTAAGGAGGACTCGACACTCTACTAAATCTACGGTTGTGGGAATCTTCTTGTCCTCCCCTTTGACAACTGAGATCTCAGCAGAGGGCCCCCGCTTCCTTTTGCAGACTTGCACCTTTATACCATGTGGTAGGTCCGGGCCAATTACTCTCAGGATCTCCTGGGTATGCCCGGAGTCCAGAAGCCAAGCCCCCGGGCCATTTTCAACTGACCTAGGCAACAGGGTTGCCCATATAGCAGTCAACAGTGTCTCATAGTTACGTTCAATATTACGCATTCTAACCAGTTTTCGTCTAAGCCTAGCAACTGAGACCCAGGTCTCCTGGTCTTCATCCCATAAATCCTTGCCCATATAGCAGTCAGCAGTGTCTCATAGCTGTCTCTTATACACATCTAGATGTGTATAAGAGACAGATGTCATGCCCTTCTTCACTTCGGCTTGTGCATCTTTTCTCTCTCTCTCTCTCCCAATTTTCATTTTCTCTGATGTGCGTGCTGTTTCCTTCTTCTTTTGCAGGAGATGGAGAAGAGGGAAATGGCCGTGGAGGGATTGTTGACGATGAAGCAGATAAACTACTGGTTCATAAACCAAAGAAAACGACACTGGTTGAAGAAGGCAAAAAGAGGGGAAAAGCCCAAGCACAATGAGTGACTGATGGGTTTTCGGCTTTTCCACACTTAGTCCACTTTGTGCTGTTGTGATGTGGCCAGCTCGCTGTAGTAGATTCCAGCAGCTTCTCCAGTGGGTGAGTGTTACGAACCAGCCAGGGCCCGATCCCTGGTCTGCAGGCCACAAGCCGCCTATGCCCTAGTACGTTGGAGAGCTACCTGGATGTTTAAATGTCACAGTGGGTAAAGTGGTAGTAGAGAGGGAGATCGAAGGTCATACATTCACTGAGTTGATTCTGTGTTCATTGGCATCAATACTTACCACGAGATAACTTAGGCCAAGAAACTATTCGCCAAGGTTCTGGTGACCAGCAGCAAGTATGGTACATGTACTGTAGCGATTGTGTCCACAGACTATAGGTCTAGAGTCTGCTCACAGTCAGCACATACATAGATTAACTATTTGTCATGAGACTATTGGCCCACAGTCAGCTCACAGTCAGGAAATAACTATTTGTCATCAGAGTATCGGCCAAGTTGAGGGTCTGCCCACAGTCAGAAAGTATAATAAGCATTTGCCACGCGTTGATTGGCCAAGTCAAAGGGTCCATCCACACGCGGAGAATAAACTATAGAATCCGGTATAGAATCTATAGATAGAATAGCAATTGGCGAGGAAACTATTGTGTCAGCAAATAAAGTTAATAAACTATTCATCGACGAATAGCCGAATAGCCAAATAGCCAAAGTCCGCCAAATAGGAGCTGACTGTGGATGTGGAGTGGGGAGGCTTTGTCGAGCAAATAAAGTTAACAAAACCACAGATCAGATCACAACTCTTGGTGTGGCTGGAGGAAGACGTCAAATGAAGTAACCAGGGGTCAGGCAACAGTCAGTCCTGAAGTTTCTCCGAGTCAGGGGACAGAGAATGCAGCTAGGTAATGACCGGTTTGTTCTTGGATGCTTCACTCGGGCTCACTTTGGGCAGGGCTAATCACAACGGCCAAGCTGATTTCTACAGAAGGCGGCGGGCACCCACGGTGTTATTGCATGCAGGTGACTTCTCAGCTCAACATCTTTTGTGCATCTGCTCTGCAGCACTTCCAGTCCCCACCATCACACTCTGCTGAATATTCTCAGACCCTTCAGTTACAGACAGGCATTCACATCTCTTCTCTTCTCCTTTCTCTCTCTCTCTCTCTCTCTCTCTCTCTCTCTCTCTCTCTCTCTCTCTCTCTCTCTCTCTNCATAGTTACGTTCAATATTACGCATTCTAACCAGTTTCCGTCTAAGCCTAGCAACTGAGACCCAGGTCTCCTGGTCTTCATCCCATAAATCCTTGATCTGCACAATCCCCTTTTCTATCCAGACCTTGCCAAAAGACCGTGGGCTCCCATCAGCTTTAAGAGAAGAGTTGCCTGAAGTCCTAATGAAAGGGTTTTCGAATAATATTTGGTTCAATACTTCCCTTCTTGTTTCTGGTGGACCGAGAACCTCGGGGAACAGTCTCTGCCAAGCATATAAAATATTTCGCCATATTTTCGACTTTGGCTTCCTTGCGGAAAAAGATGGGATGAAGAAACAGAGCCATACATCTGCAACTCTTGACAGACCCCATTCCTTACTAAGGATATACTCAGCCTAGCGGACCCATCGTTTCGACCGGAAGCCAAAGGCTGGGGATATGACCCACTTGCTAAGAAGAGCCAAGTTTTGGTGGACTAGATCAAGGAGGCCCACGCCGCCCTGTGTTCTTGAAACCGATATGGTTTCCCAAGCCACTTTCCATATGAAGCCCGGTTGCCGCACGCCACTGTAAGGTCATCTGCGATTGGCCCCCTTTTCCATTCTAATTCAGGGGCGAGCTTCAAACCAAAGATGTTCGTATTGTTTCTAATGTTATCTAATAAAACTTCTAATTGGAGAACAAAGAGGAGCGGGGCTAGAGGACAGCCCTGCCTTAATGAGAGGGTTAATTGAAAATCTTCGGACAGTCTACCATTCACCACCACAACCGAAGCCGCATGTTCAAAGCTTGAGCTTACCCAGGTCCGGAACCTGGGGCCAAACCCCATCCTCTTTAGGGAGGTGTGGACAAAACTCCACCCCACTTTGTCGTAAACCTTCTCCATGTCTAGTAGAAGGATTGCAACATCCCTTTTTTGTTTACCAATAACTTCAAGTGCCTGGACGCGCCCACGGCGCAACAGGCTTGCGTCGGTAGCGCGCGCAAGGCTTGCCAAGGTAGGTAGGGAGCGAGGCGTCGCTGAACGGGGGAGACCGCGAGACAGTGCCAGAGTCGGCCATAGCCGAGTTACGGTGGACACGAGGGGAGAAGGGGTAAAGGAGGGAAAGGATAGTGGGGGGAGGAAGGGAGCGAAGGAATACCCGTGTCGAGGCAGGCTCCGTTTGGTAAATCAGCGCGCAGGAAAGACCTACCATAGCGAGTGTCCGAAGAAAAGGTGAGAGACCGCAAAGGTGGAAAACCGGGGTGATGGCGGTCAACCAGACTCACTGCGACGGAAGCAGGCGTTTGAACTAAATGGACAGAAGAACAGCAAGCACGGACAGCGGGCGTGGGGAGTACATCGCGACCCGCGCGGGGAAACCGGCGCGGTGAGGGAGGCAGGTCGCTTATACACCTGCCACGTGTGCCAGTAGGTCGCGCTCACATCAGAGCTGTACAGAAGACCTGAAGGAAGTGACAACAACAACTCAAGACTCGAAGACCCCGCGCGAGGTTGGTGGCTCGAAGATCGTGGATCCCCCTCTCCCCCCTCCTCAACCACCGATCCGTCCCTTGCACCCCGCCTCAGACCCCGGCCCCGACCCCGCCCCGACATCCCCTCCCCTTTCGTATTCCGACTGAAGCCTCCCTCGTCCCCGACCTCAGCCCCTCCGATCCCCCGGTTCCGTCCCTCTCCTTCCCCCGCCTCCGATTTCCCCGTTTTGTCCCTCACACCCCACCTCTGATCCCGGCCCCGATCCCGCCCTGACATCCCTCTCCTCTCGCGTCCCCCTTCTCCCGCGTCCCGACTGATCCTCCCCCGTCCCCGAACCCGACCCCCGAAACTCCCTCCTCCGCCTCCGATCCCGACCCCACCGTCTTCTACTCCCTCACTTCCCCGTTGACCCTCCCCGCCCTTCGAGATTCCCGAGTCCATCGGTCCCGACCTTGTCCGTTCCCCGATCTCGTCGATCCCGACATCGCCCTCCTCTCGCTTCCCGACTGTACCTTCCCCCGTCCCTGAGCCCGACCCCGGGACCGATACTACCTTCCCCGCCTTCGATCCCGACCCCACCGGCTTCCCCCCCCTCACTCTCGACCCCGACCCTCCCCTACTTCCCCGAACCCCGACCCCGTCGATCCTTCCCCGACTCCGGCGAACCCCGATCTCGTCGTTCCCAACCTTGTCTGTCCCCCGCCCTCCACGAACCCCGACCCCGTCGATCCCGACATCACCCCCCTGACCTCTCCGACCTTTTCCCTCCCCACTCCCGACCCCGATCCTCTCCGACATCCGCGCTGCCCAGATTTTCCTCGACCTCCACGATCTCCGATCCCCTCGATCCCGACATCGCCCGTCCCTCTCCGCCCTCCGTGAACCCCGGTCCCCGTCTCCCCGTCTCTAAACCCGACATCCGGACCGACCGATTTTGTTCCCCTTCTCCAATTGTCGCCCACCGTCGCCCCATCCCATTCCGACCTCGACCAGGCTCCTCCCCCTCCCTAGGACCCCCCCGATCCCGACCTTGTCCTGGCTCCCTCCCTGACCGATCTACGATTACCCCCTTCCCACTTCCGATCCCGATCCCGCCCTGATCTTCCCCCCACTCCCGACCCCCATCTCACCGATCTCGATCCTGAATCGTAAACCACGACCCCTTCCCGACCTCGACCCCACGCCTGGCGACTTCCCCTCCCCACCTCCGACCATGTCCGACCCTCCCCGATCGATCCTGATCCAGACCCGTTCTAATCCCGATCCCTCTCACTCATGAATGATTTCCCTTTGAACCTGATCCCGATCCCTGTCCTCTCCACGATCAACCACGAACTTCCTCCCCCTGCTTTCCCCTGCGATCCCGAACAGGCCTTCGATCCACCCCCACTGCCCGTCCCCTCCACGATCAACCCCGACCTTCCCCCGCCCCGCTTTCCCCAGCGATCCCGAACGGGTCTTCGATCCACCCTCACGACTTCTTTCGATCCACCCCCACTGCTTCTTCTCCTGATCCAACCTCTCTCACTCGGGCTGAAAGGAGTGCATCCGGCCACTCAGTGTGATTACGAAACAGGGTCTACTCTACTGGTACATCCCCGCTCAGGCTGAGAAGTGTGAAAGACCAGTCCTACCACAACGCGACCACAACGCGACACATCTGAATGGTAAGCAGCAGCATGAAGCCCCGCCACCAGCGGGCACACAAAAGGCTAGATTCGATGCTACTGTACCGGGGGATAGTTAGACAATACGCGCAGAATCGACTGGCTGGGGAAGGGGATCAGAGAAAGGTAGACGATAAGGGGGGGGATCAGGGGAAAGAGGCGGGCAATAAGGGGGGGGACCAGCAGATAACAGCCACCCAGACCGATCTAAGCTCGTCCTCCCATGGCACCGGGGACAAAAGAGCTAACCCGGGAATTAACAGAGAAAAGGCACCAGCTTTGGACGCCAAACAAAGCCTGTCCCCCCAGGATCCGACCGTCCATTCCTGGGCAGAGAAGGTGAAGGGGTGGCCTGCCCAAGCAAGCATCGCGGTCAGACGTAGGAAGGAAGGGACGAGCGGGGGGGGTGAGGAAGAATGGAAGATCCCGGTGGGGAACTTGACTACGGCAGGGGCGTTCTTCCTCTCTCGCCTCCTGGCCACCCCGGAGAACAGGATTTTACAGCAGGGGGGCAAGCCAACCATGGCCAGAGCGCTGCCTGACGAGGCAGTGCGAACCAGAGACTTCATTTATACTCACCATGCAAGTAACTGGGCTTTCCACGACGACGCAGCTTTCAAATCTACAAATGATAAGGTTGGATGGATCAGGGAACGGTTGGCTGCATTCAAGGGATCTCCGGCAAATGCACGCGAACGGTTCCTGATCCAACCAGCCTCGTCGTCTGTCATCACAGTGCTCTGCGTATCAGAGGCAGACAAAAAAACGATGGATGGTTGGAGATCACTGCGGTGTGACAGATCGGAGGTCTGCATCTATCCATGGACCCCCCCAAAACCGCAACGCCCCGAGGAACGCAGGGAGCAATTGATGAGGGAATACTTTTGGATAGAATTCCGCCACATCCCGATCGAGATCCAGACCGCCTTCGTCTAGGACATCACCGAGAAGTACGACATACTTGACTTCATTGACCCGCTCCCCCCTCATGTGGCTTGCAGGGACGACTACTTAATGCTGGCCATCAACCTGGCCGACGAGCACGTTTTTTCGATTGACGACGTTGTGAGGAAACCCGGGGAGGGGCGCCTACTGTTCGCTGAAGCCAAGGGCTACAGCGCCTGTCACTCACTGCGCCCGCTTCCGAGGTCCTCAGCGATCAGCAGGGGATATGGGGT